AATACCGTACAATTTAACTGGAAAACTTAGATCTAACTTTCAAATCTGAATATCTCACGTAAGATAAGTTTCATGTGATGCCTATTAATAAGTCTAAGAGTCCATTAATTGATTTTTTCTTTTATTAACTTGCGTCTTTTTTATGATTTATTCTTGTTTTGCAGCACCGCTCCTGCTTTATTTCAAAAGTGCCATCATGTAGCACGATACGTGTGACACAGAGGATGTTCAAGATAAAATTTCCTAGAAGGCGGATATTATATTACAAATAACAAGGACCTTCTGTCCTTGTTTATAATCCTTTTTGCCAGAGCAATAAGCAGCACGAATTATTCGATCAGCAATCGCAAACTAGGTGTCTCCTATGCGTACAATAGTAATCCCGAATTTCTCGTGACCTCCGTATTCAAATTACGTAGCGAAATGTATCGCGACGCGGTGTCCTTTCCCCTCGCGCGCCGGCTGGAAAAGCCAGGGACGGTCGCAGCTTCCGGAATTATTTATAAATTCCGATATTGGATCTCTCGAGACGCGCGAAGGCAAAGTTCCGAAACTGCTCGCGACTGTTCGATGTCTGTAAGTGGTCGCGATGCAGAACATGCATGCCAACGAATATATACATAAAAATAGACCTCTCGGTCTATTTGAGGACGTCGGTTACGTCCAGGACCGTTGCGAGGTTCTCGGGAGGTCCTGCGCGTTTTAGAGGACCTCTCGAAAAGCACACTTCAAGTCATATATATTGAAAATGTTAAAATGATGACGGCGTACTTTTTGGAAATTATTCCATTTCTTAGAAGGGAAAGTGTTCTAAAACGGAGAATTATAAGAAAATTTGTCTTTGGAAGCAACTCGCATTTCCTGAGTTATAGAGAAGAATGGAAATCAATTCAAGATTTATCTAATGAAAATTCATCGGATCCTTGACAATTTCATTGGCTCGAAATATCAGTTATTTTACAAACGCGGAATCGACGATTACCTGAAAAATGACTAAAAGTGATGGACATTGATGATAAGTATTTCGTAATTTAAAAAGAATACAAAAAATATGGTTAAAATGAAGAAGAAATAAGGTTAAAAGAGAAAAAAAATATAATTTTGATGATCAAGTATTCAATATAAGTGTATGGTACACAGTAAAATATATTTTATTTTTCTTTTCAAAGTCGTCATTTTACAATAATATCTTGATTCTCGGTGGTTCAATTAAGCTGAATTTTAGGTAAAACATTTCCGTAAGCTTGTCGTTATCAATCATTGACAAACTCGTAAAAATATTTAATTTTGAAATATTAATTTTTTTGCTATAAAAGAACTGAAAATTTAATAATATTCCATTAAAATTTGCAATTTTTTTAACTTTTACTCAATTTCTACAGTTGTTCATACGATAACGATAAGTTTACGGAAATTTTCTACCTAAAATTCAGCTTAATTGAACCACCGAGAATAAAAAATTATTGCAAAACGACCTTGAAAAGAAAAACAAAATATATTTTAACTGCATGTACCATATACTTATATTGAGTATTTGATCATCAAAATTATATTTTTCTTCTCTTTATATGTTGTATAAATACACGTCAAAATAACACTTTCGCATATTTATTCAGTTTGTCATAAAAAATTGTGAAAAAATAAGCACGATTTTCAGGCAATCTGACCCTCCAGTCCCCTTAAATGAATATCCATTAATTGTGCACTGCCCGCATCTACAGTGAAGTCGGCGAATTCTCTCTCGGATCACAACACATTTTGTATTCGCATCGTGCCCGATGAAAGCGTTCCCGGTTATATTCGAGCCCGATGTTGAATTTGCAGAAAGAGGGGCGAGAAAGCAAAAGAACACACATATATACACACACATATTTCTCGGCAAAAGTATGAGGGGGGTGGCGACACGGAAAGCAGGCGCCAATAAAAGGTATCGACGTATGCTTCGCGACCGTCAACATCGCAGAACGCGAAATTCATTCCACCGTCTCTCGTGACGGAAAGAAGGAATCGCGGTATCGGAATTTGCCTGTCGAACAAATATCGCCCAACGGCAAGCGAATAAATAATTAATAGGCGCGAATACGAGCCTGAGATTGCGACTAGTTAGAACTCCCGTTCAGCGGACCATTAATGAGTTAAAACTCTCTGCGCTTTTAATAATCCTCCGCCGCAACACGCGTGAGTGATTTATCAAAAATATGAAACGGAAATTAAAAGTCGAGAACGCGCGCGAGCCGGCAGCGCACGGCTTTTACGAAATAGTAAAAAAACAACAGTGAATAGATGTACGCAATTCGTATCAATATTTGCGCAAGTTTTCCCATCGCGTATATTTTGCATACTCTTCTTTATTTATCATCACATATCGTCATTTTAGAAGACTTATGTTAAAGAGACTTCCCTCCTTTTGTTTTTTTTTTACATTCTTTTTTATGACATAAACATATCTCTATGGAGTTGATCACCACGTGAAACCATCACGACGCTCGCAACTGATTAATCGAAAAACGAAGGGAAGAGAAAACAAAAAAGAGAGGAAAAAAGAACGACAGAAAATTACTTTCCTCGCATTTCACGCGGGCGCACTAGCCGCGAGTAATATCGCTGGCTGCTCGTCAGCGAGCGACGATTGTGCCGTGAAAACGAGCTATTCTGAAGCGCGATCCCCGACGACAAAGGACAAGCAGCAGACATCCTCGAAGCGATTCAGGCGCAGCCGCGTGGCGGGCGAATTTTTTCCTTTCACCGACGCGTACGAAAACGTGATGATCCATTGTGGGGGGGAGGGGGGGACAGGGAGGGAAGTCGCGCAATCCCCGGCGGACAAGGGGGAGTGCGGAGTGCGGTGGTGGCAGAGATAGCGGGGGTGGGTGAGGGAGAGAGTGCAATAACGTCGGCGCGTTAATGCTCGTGGAAATAATGTATCGGCCGTGGTAGTGTAAATTTCACCTACTACCTGGTCGATACGGCGTAAATATGCGTGAAGAGTAGGGAGTGGTGTGGCTCGAATACGCGTATAAACGACGTTGTGTGCGTTCGTGAGTGGACGTGCGTGTGTGCGGTGGTGTGCGAGTATTATGCGACGGCGGAGAGAGCGGCAGCAGCGGCGGTGGTAGAGGAGGAGAAGGAGGAGGAGGAGGAGGAGGAGGAGGGGGAGGGGGAAGGCAGTGCAGGCTGCGTGGTGTAATGGCCTGCTACCGAGGGTGCATTAAGGCGGTTTATGCGCGCGAGGAGGTACGGGGTTACTTTTAACACGCCGCGCACTCGAATGCTGCTCTCTCATTGAAAACGCAGCGAAATGTCCCGGTGAGGAGGAGGTTCGATAATCGACGGGACGTTGAAAGCGGGAAGATTCGTGCGAAAGCGCTGGAGTTAACGCGAGATTAATTGCGGAATTAAGAAGTTCCGGCGCCAGAATGAAGCGATAAAGAAGCGCGGGATTCTCGCGCAGCAGTGATGACGGCCGATGATAATCGGAGACGCGTTACCGCTAATGGAGGAAGTTTGTGTCCGCGCTTCGCTATACCGGTGGCTAAAGGAGCGCTAAAGGCGCTGAAAAAATATCGCTCGATAGATGCAACTTTTCTCAATTTTGCCCTCGATCAATCGCAAAGAAATTTTATGTGCTTTCTCATAATTGCAGCTCTTGAAGGATACGTAAGGCAGTATCATTTTGGGCGTTTAGTCCATGTGTTTCTGTCTTCCAATAAAAATTAGATCCTTTTTTTACATTACTTATTTAATACGTCTGCACATTTTTTCTCCTATCAAAAATTTGTATTATCACGTTGGCGCTATTAATCAAGTTTGTTCCTCAGAGTATAACGCCTCCCGATGACACTTTAAATAATTCCTTTTAATAATATATCCATGAAAGCGCAATTATCGTGTTTGCACAGCTATCTCGCGACGCCATTATACCCTCGCGCAATTGACCCCGTTATATATTCATGAGATTCCTCGTCCGTCTTTCAAGTCATCGCTTTGTGCATACCTCCCTGAAAAATATTCGCAATCACCTTCGTGATTATATGACGGTAAATGTCATCTCAACTGTCGTCCAAGTGAATTTTCGACGCTTTTATATACGTGTATATCACGTATCTTACGGCACTAATTGTCAGATTGTAATTGTTACGTCAATCTCCAGGTTTCCTCTATTATCCTAACTGCGACCTAAATTCTGCCATTTAGGCTCACGACATCTTGAGCCACATTTCATCTTCTCCAAGACACGCTCGACAAGGTAACATTAACATTCTCCGCATTGGAGGTTTAACCCTAGGTATACACACTTCTTTTTCGCATACATAGATGAGGTCTGAAGGTTTGAGGTCTGAAGGACCTCAGCTACATTTTTTATTATAACTCCGGTAAAAATCACCGTATTTTTACTTTTTTTCCCCGATTGTTAATAGACTGATGAAACATATATATTTATTAAGAATTAGAATTAAATCATAATAAGCATCATATAATAAAGACGTGTTGAAACATTAGAATTACTTATAACTGCAAAGGAAACGTCATTTTACCGTAATAGCTTGAAAAATGCGTATCTTTTTTGATAATAGAGATAATCGAAAAAAGTTTTCAAATTTTGAAAGGGCATATTTCAAGGTACAATGAAAAAAATCGTCGCTTAAATATTGGAATATTATTATGAAAATTACAAGGCTCCAAAATTGACGATTTTTCATATTTCTATTTTCTGACGGTTTTGCAGACATATATAAGAGTTAGGATTTTTGTTAAAAAATACAAACTCAATAACTTGTAATGCATGTAACAGAAACAGAAAAAGAAAAACGTGAATAATTTAAAAGCGGCGAATAATATTCACCCAACAAGGTAGTATCATTTTGGGCGTTTAGTCCATGTGTTTCTGTCTCCCAATAAAAATTAGATCCTTTTTTTACATTACTTATTTAATCTAACATTTTTTAGAATATATATTTACATTATAAACTCGAATAAAATTAATTACAAAATATACTTACTTGCAAAAAAAGTTGCACGAAGTACACTCTGGGGCCTGGGAGACCCCGGGCTTACTTTATATGTGAATTACTACAAAACCGACAGACAATTGACTGCTCCGTCAGCTATCTGCAGAGGAGACTTTAAACTTTTTTTACACAGCGATCGTATCCTCCTTACTTATTCTTTCTATTAATACTAGAGTTTCAAACTTTGCCTGGGGTCTCGGAGACCCCAGTGTGTATACCTAGGCTTAAAATAGATTATTTTTCGCGCGCGTGTTTTGACGGCAGCTCGCTGAAAACTAACGTGATTGCCAAATCACGTTAGCGCGGGACACCTAAAGACCTTGAGACAACACTTTCCTCATACTCGCGTGTCTACGGAACTTTCCACCCGCTCAAATTATACAAGGCTCCTTGAATCAGATTTGAAATCAACTACACTTCTCGCAAGGAATTATGTATTTGTATGCACCTACGGTTCCATTAGCGGGTCGCTAAATTTTACGAACTTACGGTCGCGTGTGTTCATGTCGCTGGAATTTGCATTCTACGAAAATTACGCTACCTTCAGCTTTCACCTCTGACACTTGCGCAATTACCACGAGCGACCGGATATTATCTCGCGATCTCTAAAATGGTTATTACGTTCCTCGATTTTTCTGCGACGGATCAATGCGCGGGATCAATGCGAAAAACTCGGACGTTCATCGCGAAAATCCATTAGTATTCGCGATGGTTAATTCACTCGTATTTCCGGTCCGATGTACAAACTCGCGCACTCACGCACGCACACACATCTCCCTCTCCCCCCCCCCCCAAA